TGCCGCGCTGTCGCTGGCGCCCTCGCCGCTCCGGGCAGCCGAGCCGGCCGCTTCCGACGTGGAGCCCGCGGGGGAGGAGTGCAGCTGGGCCGGCCTCTTCTCCTTCCAAGACTTGCGGGCTGTGCACCAGCAGCTGTGCTCGGTGAACTCGGAGCTGGAGCCCTACCTGCCTGCCTTCCCCGAGGAGCCCTCGGGCATGTGGACGGTGCTGTTCGGAGCCCCGGAGCTATCCGAGCAGGAGATGGACGCTCTCTGTTACAGACTGCAAGTTTACTTGCTCCACAGCTTGGATACCTGCGGCTGGAAGATCCTTTCGCAGGTGCTCTTCACGGAGACTGACGACCCTGAAGAGTATTACGAAAGCCTGAGTGAGCTGCGACAGAAGGGGTACGAGGAGGTGCTGCAGCGGGCCCGCAGGCGGATCCAGGAGGTGAGGCTACCCCACGATCCAGATATCTCCACCTTAGTGTTACCTTTTCCTTACTCTGTGACATCTTCTTCGGTTATTCTCTGCAGCTGCTCTCCTCTACCTTTGCAGAGTTGATTGAGCCATGGGACAAAAAAAAAAGTGCAGGAAAGCTGTCTAGTTTAAAAAAAAAAAAAAAGCTTTGAGAATCTTAGTTAGAATGAGGCTTAACCTTTCCGAGGTCTCTAGGGCCAGGATTTAAGAAGGTGCAGATTTCCCTAGCCATCTAAGTATGGCTCAGTACTTTATGCAATCAAACGTAGATGTTTGTGAGCAAGTAGCTGATGGATTTGGCAAGGTCTTACTCCCAGATTTTTGTTCTTGCATTGCTTTGCACCAGGATATGTTGGAATCTGAATTTTTCTGTTTTAGTGGGAGCAGCAACATTTGGTGTTTATTTTGACAGTACAATTTAGGCACTTGAGGCCAAAAAATTCTAGATTCCTGCAGGCTCTGGGTGCTGAATCTGGTATTTCAAGTGAGATGATGTTTTCCAGTGGAACTGGAGTAAGTGGAGCTTTTGTTCAGCTGTTAAGTTCTTAGAGTTGGGATTTTTAAAAAGCAAGCTGTCTGGTCCTAGTGAGTATTTACTGCATTGCCATTGCTAGTGTCTGGCAAGAGTTGGATGTTTCAGGAGATGCCATCTCTCTTCCTCATACCATGTACTGTTTAGATGAACTTAGTTGAGGAAGTTCTGGTAACTAACTTCTAGCATCGGTGTGTAGAATTTTTTCACATCTTTGTGGACTGAGGTATATGAGGACCCAGATATCCCCAGTGTAAAAGGAGAATTTTACACTTGTTTTTACGTTTCAGTGGCCTTCGTCCAGAATGTACCGCGCTCTATCTAGGTGTGACTATGTGTATGAATCAGGTTATGGAATTTTTTAGTTTTGCAAACACTATCTAAATTCTGTTGTATGGATATAGATCAAGTTTGGCTGCTTCAGCTGCCCGCATATATCCTACCAGTGTTGTGTGTTCAAAAATACATAGTAGTGAATGTTTTTTACTTGATGGAGTATGAGCATATCTGCTTGCTGTCTGTTTTGATGGCATAATTTTGAGTTTTTGTTGGATTCAGGCCAAGCTTTTCCTTAGTGGCTAGAGTTAAGGAATATGAAAAGATTGTTTTATCCACAATGAAATCATGATAAGAGCATCCAAGTGTAGCATTGTCAGGTAAAAGTTTATTTCCAAACTGTTGTGTTAGGTTATATCATTGTGATTTTTATATTTTTTTTTTCCTCATGGCTATTTAAAGGGCTGAATTCATCCTTCCTAATTTTGGTATACAACTAGTAATTAGTCTAATAGTATTGTGCAGTGGTTTTAGTCCAGAGAGTGTGAAAACATACTATCTTTTGCTTTTTTTGTTTGCATGATTGCTTGGGAGTATGTGCTTAGATGGCTTAAGCCTTCATCTCAACAGTTTTTATAAGGAGCTGAGCAGGATAAGAGAAGTTTCTGTTAAACATGTGGAGTTTGGGAACTGGGTACCTCACTCAAAGCGTGATCTATTTTTGAGGGAACACTAATTTGGAATTATTGAACAAGAACTATTTGTTTCTTGGAGACTCTCAACTTCTATTTTGTTAGCACCAGTACTATTGGCAAAAAACCCCCTGGTTATCAATATGCTATGCAAGCTTTATCGATCAAGATCTCTAAACTACAACATCTTTTTCTCTGTTAATGTTCAGAGCTTGGTGCAGACAAAATGGCAGAGCCTATGTGTGTATTTGACTACAGTGCAAGCTTCCTTCCCATGGTAACCAATCCAGTAGTGTACCTAAAGTCAGCAGAGCGGTATTTCTGTCACTGTCAATTGTGTAAATTGATCCTTCTTTAATTAAAAGTAGTTCATGTTTAAGAAAAGAAACCAATAGAATGACCTG